TAACCGTGGATAGGTCTCTAGTGCATAAAAGCGTAGCTTCTATAAGTTGTCGCAAGCATTGATTCTTCCCAAGCAAAGCGCGCTTACCATCTTATAAGCCGCCGCTGAGCTGCCTGGCTGTTGACGCAGTTCCGCGTTATCTGCGTGTCTGTGCTATTGTGCTATAGTATTTACGACAAAAAAAGTAAATATCTTCATTTCTAGAATTTCTGTTGAACAAAACTAACATAAACAACATGTTAACCCTAGTCATCAACCTGTTCTAACACTATTCGCAAGACGAGTCAGTGCACGCAGAGATTAAACGCTATGACATAGACTAAAGTAGTATTAGAGGAGAGCAGAAGATAAAAAAGGTAAAGGCGATGCAAATAGGTTCGTAGTACACTTTCTCCGCGTACGGTGGCCTGCCTTTACGAGCGTGCATACAATTTTGGTCAGTCCTTGAAGACTTTCAGCCTTTGTACATCATCAGCCTTTGGTCTATAGCAACATGGACAAAGCAACAGAAGTGAAAGTTATTGAAGTGACTTGAAAGTGTAGAATAAATCACAAGTAACAAGAATACGATTGAAGTGAGTAAGCTGGAATTGTTCATAAGTCTGTGATTCAATAGGAAACAAGTAATCAAGCATATCCGAGCTGTTTCTTGATAAGAGCTGTGACAAGCCGGAATGGCCGCTCCTCGAATTCGATGTACTGATCGTGGTCGATTACCACTTGGTCGCCTTTCATTCGATTTAGTAACGTGACGCATACGATAGCTGCTGAAGTTGGGGAAAATGGTTTCACAAACTCAATTCATAATCAAATAGTTGTTCACTATACAATATTATCGAAAGTCTACCACAGACTAACGCTTGATGTGATAATTGCTGGACAGAGTTTAGCTTCTCTCAATTTGGCGCAAAGCAGACCTTGTCGCGATTCACGACCGACCGCTTGATGACATTTAGCGAGCATTGAGATGACCGGTGACGAAAGTTACGGCCCTATACCGTCTGCAACTCTGGTCGTTGCTGGACCACTACGCGGGACACGCCCAGCCTGGACTGCATAAAGTGCGCGACTCATTTTTGCTTTATCATACACCTTTTCCGTTCCCGTTGTGAGCCTTTTTGATATGTGCGTTTGTGCGTGTGTCCCACCCCCCTCCCCCTCCCCCTGCCTTGAGCGAGTGCATGGGTGGAATGATCGGAAGGTTCGATGGAAAGGCAAGGGTTGAGATATACGGGTGACTACGATAATATATAAGCTCTTGGACGCGCAGGATAGACTGTGAACCGGAGTTGGCATGGTATGAAAAGTACTCTTCGTTGCGTTAGGCGTTGGGCATACCTTACGCGATTTCGGTCGCTGTGCGATTACTCCACCGCACATGTGTTTTTGACCCGTCGCGCCCGCCGCATTCGTACCAGTTTGTAAGGCGACAAATCGCGTACCCGCGCGCAAATTTTTGACAGTATACCTCTAGTAGCGACATTGTCACGACATCGCCGAAACTGAGAGAAATCGCGTCGCAGAGTCT